CTCCCCATGTGTCGTCCCAATGGAGCCGAGGATTTAATGACTGTCCCCCCGCAGGGACGACATGTGGGGAGGCGTGTGAGAGGCGGAGAGATTATTAAAAGATTAGGCTGTTTTTCTTTCATGTACGACCATGTACGATCCGCAGATCAAATATGACCGACCCACTTGAATGCTTGTTGAGCAATCCTGTAATCCTCGTTATTCTGTAATCAGGGAATCTATTCAGTAGGGCCTATCTAATTGGGAATTTAGCAGCAAGTTTTTTTTTTTTAGTAAATCGCCATGTTTGGTCATTGGATCTGTTAGTCCGCTGTTCTGATTACGCTCCAAGGTTCTTAGCTGTTCACAAGTTCCTCTTATGTTATTTGCATTTATCTCTTATGTTTTTTGTGCCTTATTTGTTTTGATCATTAGGCATTATCACGCATGTACTTTGGTGTAAGAGCTGGAGAGGAATCCCCAACCCGTTTTTTTTAACAGAATATGGCCTAAGCGCAGGTGGCAGGGGGCATTTAAAAGACACTGTTTGCTACATTCATCTAAATGTAGTAGGCTACACTAAGATTCTATCCCCCATTCCCCCTATTTGCACCAGATCACCCCACAACGTATGCACACTAAAATTTTACTTCATATGGGTCTTGTAATTATTATTATTATTATTATTATTATTATTATTATTATTATTATTATTATATCTAATTCTAACTTGTTATTACCTCCAAATTAGAATGTACATAAACAGCTTTAAGCAATTGGATTTGTGAATAAGAAACGACGTAGGCCTATTTTAAGATCAAACAATAGACATAATGTGCCAAAATTTAAGACTGAAAGATTCCGATATTCCTTTATTCCATATGCCAAATCCCAGTAGCAAAATGTCATCTTTTATCGCTTGTACAGTAGTTTCAAAATTCAAGTAGCATTCTTTTAACTTAGGCTGTATTCCCAGAGCTTTTAGATCGATCTATCCCCGCGGGGAGTCTCACTAGATTACTGTCAGATAATCCGGCTTAAATGTCCGTCCCGCCTACTACAAGCTGTAAGGGGGTAATTAACTTTCGTGTCCGCTCGGCTGACAGCGATTTAGCGTGAACCCCCAGGGAGTTAGGTCGATCTAAAGTAGATCGATCTAATCTCTGGAAATGGGGTCTTTATGTGCAACTTCAACCAATTGGCTTGCAATCTTATGGATATTGTCACCCTTCCCCCAAGACTCCTTATTTACTGCCCTACATGGATTTTTTGGGGTAATAGATAAATCTTCAATGTTCAGTGACTACAATGATTTACATTTACAAATTTATGTTATCTTACGGGTGACTTCATAATTGCGATTTTGTGTAAAATCTCAAAATCGGTTTCTCAAATTTCACTTTTACCTAAGCACCCACAATCACCGTTTCGACACCGATTTATAGACATCATATTTTATACTCCAAAACCCTGCCAGCGATTTTTTCTTAAAAGTCTTAGCAGCTTGAAACAGAATGATTAACGATAACGTTTGTTAACGCTAGAAGGTTGGCACTTTGAGTTTCGTGCATGTTAATTTTAATTAAAATGACTGCAATCGATGGGGAAATGCGTACATGAACAAGAGAATAATGAATGAATTATGTAATACATTTCATATGTATGAGGTTCATCGCGTTGAGTTTTCCTACTTTGGTAGATGGGCTTTCACTTTGGTCTGTCTTGTGCTTGGGAACACCTACCGCATTGCTGTTGCAAAAAGAGGAAAGTATGCAGAAATTTGAGAAAGAGGAATGTGAGGCAAATACCGACCATTTGCAGATTATTCAGTTAATTTCTCGGGTTATTGTAATTTATCTCAAAACGATGATTTAAACAAAGTTCATATGTAATTTGTGCTTGTTAAGATATTTTAACTTTGATTTCTTTACAGCTTCTCCATGTATACTGTTAAAGGCGGGCTGTACAAGAATTTTGAAATTTTAAAATTATTCAAAACTTGACTGCTTTATTACTTTGCATAAGGTTTGTTTATCCTAAAACGTTGGACATCCAATATTCAACATGAGCTTTGTTTACATGCACCCTCCTTTTCATGATCGATGAAATTCACAATGCATTACACTTTTACTAGCTATTTATTACTAGCGGTGTCCCTTAATTAAATACGCAATACGGTGCGGGGGCGTCTCGATAGTCCGAAGGTTCATTGGTCCGAAGGTTCATTGGTCCGAAAAGTGGTAACATTTTCATCGATTTTTTAATCAAGGGTTCATTGGTCCGAAGGTTCTATAGTGAATATTCGGACCAATGAACCTTCGGACTATTGCTACGGCCCCTACGGTGCAATGCAGAGATGATTCTTCCACCGAAAAAGTGGAGATTCTTACCTAAGTTAGTTGTGTTAACTTTAGAAATAGGGTGGGACTCTAGACCCTACTGGTAGATCTTCACCTCTATTTTAATTCTGGGCAGGCATTTTCCAACCAAAAGCATCCTTCCCTTCATGACCTAGCTGCATGTGCAGTAAAGAATTTTATTAGTTCATAGAGATGATAAGTGAGACAATTTTATTGATAAGTGCTGCCATGAAGTTTCCTTTTCAACACTCCTGTTTACATTTTCTGATATGTACTAGTGCATATATCAGAAAATATAAATATAGGAGTGCTTAAATGCTTATATCAATAATTTAAAAGTGCTTCATTGGACATGCTCAGTCTTATCAAATAAAATGAAAATTATGAGTATTTCACATTAAAAATTATAGGTTATGTTATTTACAGTTAATGTCTTATGGTTAAAAAAAATGAAAGTCAATTTTATTTTAGCAAGAATGAATATTTCACTCATACACTGTGTTCAGTGTCCCACTCAAAGTAAAAATCAATCATTTTCCCCTTAATTAATTGCACTTCACATTGAGGCCAGCATACCAGTATGTGTTTTGTATAATGGAGACAATGACGTATTATTATTATATTGATCATTTTTAGAAATATGACATGACAGCTGGTAATACTGACTGTGCTAAAAGCTGTTTGGATTACGTGTATCTAGATGTGGAGAATGGAGCTTTTACAGGTGAGACGCAGTATATGTTAATATTTATGTGCCTATGGTCATATCTGAGTATTCTTTTGAATTTGCATATTTTCAGCTTTAGTTTGAGAGATATACTATTTTTATTACATTTACCATAGGCTAGCGATGGTTAGATAAATTAACTGGTGGAAAAAATTCAAGCTTGACGTTCAGGTGATGCGACATGCCTCCTTCCTTAATTGTTTCAGGTGAAACCTCTTGTACATATGGGAAGGAACACTGGAGACTATTCCTAGCTGTATGACAATAGATCAGGTGACCTGTCCATCCAGGTCATTTACCTAGTAAAAGGCCGCGGGTTGAGACCACAGCATCAGTCTGTTGTTAAATGTAAGTTCCAGTTTCGGAGTTATTCATATTTTATCATTATGCATATATTATGTTGACAACACTTAAAAAAAATATTTGCAGTCAGTTTGTCAATGATTTGGTGAAAATTTAATTTTGTTCAGCAGATTTTTCAGTTAGTATTGAATATGGAAGTAATTGAGTATGATTTTGATTGTTTGAATTTAAATTCAGTATTTACATTACTTAGTGAGCATGCAGTGTTTCATTGGTATACTGTAGAGTGTGCTGCATATGATTTCTGTAGCATGATTATTGCTATACCCTGATAAATTTGTGGATATCATATCAGTCCATAAGTCAGAGCATTTGGTGAATTTTCTAAATGTATGATTGTCACTCACATTTCATCTGCCTTTATCTTTTATCAGAATCACAAAGATACATAATGTCAACATCTGTCTTTGTCCCAGATTCTAGTGTATTGAATGCTGTATTAATTTATGATAAAGCTGTTTTCCATGCAGGTAGACAGCTGCTATAGCAACACCAGGTGCTCATATTCAGGAAAGGTAGATATGGTAATTGTTCAATCTTTTCAGTGGGGGGAAATTGTGAATTTTACAGATGCTGTATTTTTAATTAATTCTTGAATTTCTTGAAGTGGTAGCAGCAAAAAAAAAAAAAAAACAATCAGGCTGCTTTGTAGTTTTATTCTATGCAGTAAAATCACCACAAATGCTAATAGAAATATAATTTTTGTGATTATAAAATTATGTGTCTGAAAGTTTGATCATTTTCACCAGTTAAAAGGATCGAGTAATTACCTTACTGGTATATGTGGTCAAGATAAGATACATACTGGAAGACATTTGAAGAGATTAACATTATTATAATAGTTTAATTTGTAATGGGACATTCCCAGAGGTTTCAATGGTAGAAGAAGGCCAGGGCAGACCCGTTGATGATTGAGAGCTCTGATAGGTGAAGGCCATCTAACTGCCAGTCTAGTAAAATAGAAGAACAGCTGAAAACAGAAATAGTCCGGTATGATAATTAGTCTGTGAATTTGAATTAATGAACAATAGGATAATTTTCTCAAAAATTGATTACGTTTCATAAGTTTTAATACGTGTTTTATGTAGGTTTGAATTTAGAAAACTTTTAAAGATTTTTTAATATTTAGTACCACATGTGATTAGTTTCTCAGTGTCTTCATTTTTAGGGAAAATAGTAGCATTTGTCCATTCTAAATTATTTTCAATTAACATAAGTCTTTTCTCCCGTGGAATTTCAGTGACTTTTAGGAAGTGCCTCACACTTACCATTTTCATGCACCCAACTTTACAGTCTCTTAACAAATTAAATGTCTTTAATTTTGTCAGGCTTATCATGCCAGAGAAAAGAAAATCGGAATTTTTCTAATTCTTAAATCTGTTTTTCCTGTGGGTTTGGGAGCGTTGTAAATCTTTGGTTTGTTTTTATTTCTTTGATTGAACTTGTGTTTGTTTCAGCTACGTGTATAATTTAGCACCTTTCCATTCAACACTCCACTATATATATATATATATATATATATATATATATATATATATATATATATATATATATATATATATATATATATTTTTTTTTTTTTTTATGGCCACGTGCCATACAAGACATGATGGCCTTGTGGCTAACATGTCACACCTGATATTGAGAAGTCCTGGTTCAACCTCTAGATTGGAACTTTTTTCATAAATATTTCTAAACTGTTATTCACTGACCGTGCTCTATGATCTCATATTTTACATGCACATGACTGCTATCAATTAGTCAGTGAGCGACAAAATTTGTGACCATGTATATGTTATAACCCCCCTTCCCCCAACCCTCCAAGTAACCCATAAAGTCTGGCCGAGACTATGTTTTAGAAATGAACAATATGCTATTCCATTTTTGCGAGTGCAAAATATTTTGAGTGTTATGAACTCCAAATGCCACTGTGACAACAGTTTCTTTGGGTCTTTTAACTCCATATTCCTTGCCAATATCCAATGATGTAAAGAATTAGACTTCATTTGAACTCTTTTTTTTTTCCTGTCAATGTGGTGAGTTGGCCAGCCAATGGGAACAGTTATATTGATGCCTACTTTCTTGTTGCCTTGACTGTTACTGTCACAGGAAACTCACAAGAGCGTGAGTGAGTACGGCTCAGAAATCAAGCCAGACTTGTCAAAAACACCAAAGTTATATGAGCCCTATTACTGCCATGGCGGTATATATATATATAGATGTTCCTTTTGGTTAGAAGGTTTAATCCAAAAGGACAAATAGTTTTGCTTTTTATTGATGACTTGCGAAAATTTGGCACATTTAGTGTGGTTAACACCCTTGAATATTTCTTAATTTATCATCTTTTTATCAAAATGTCTATAGGCAGAAATTACACTTGTGAAAATGGAAATGGTTTGAAATTATATTGAGGGATACCTTATAGACTACAGTTCATACATGTACTAGTATGTATATATACATCAACTTTGGTGATTTTGTACGGCCTGTTTTAAATCCTGGTCAGCCGTGGCATTTTGTAGGGTTCAATCAAATCAGTATGTCAACCAATTGCATGAATTATGTCTTGTGGCCTAAGTGCCTGGTGTTCTGGCAAACAGAAAGTATGTGGGTCGTAGATAAGGATGTGGTTTTACAACAACCTAATATTGATGCCCTTGACTAAAGTCTAAGTTACAAATCAAACATTCCACATGTAACATACTAGTAAAACTGTACTAGTATATGTGCACATTGATGTATGGGTAAAGTTGATGTGTTATAAAACTTTTGCTTTTTCTTTTTATAATTTGTCCACCAGAGCATGTTAGTTGCACTATAGGACAAAATATATGTGACTCAAGTGGAAAAAGAAAAATGCAACAGGTAAGTTATAAAAGATTTATTTTTAAAGGTGTTGATATCTTTCATGATCTTTTCATATATGACAATAGGAGACTGGAACAATTGTTATTCTGTGGTAAAAGTCTTTGAAATGTTTTGAACCACATCTTGTAGGAACTTATTATAAAGAAAACTATTCTTTGTATGGTGGGACCAATGAAAAGATGTATAAACTAGTTACAATTATTTAGATATGTTTGGGGGGGTAAACATTCGTAAATAACTTAGGAATCACAGCATTGTGTAAAATGCTTTGAAAAAATAGTGACAGGTGCAAGATAAGAAGTAGAGGTGTGAGGGATATATTATTTTAATATATACTCGGGTAATCATGGTAAGTGTATTATAAGGGTTTTTAATACTCTTGTACAAATTCTATAATAGAATTGTCTCATTATTTAGAAGCCCTGTGAAACATAAAAAGGGTCTGAAATGGTCTAAAAGAGAAGCTACCAGTTCCAGTATACAGTATGAAACATGAAAAAAAAAAGTTTTTTAGTTTTTTATAGGCTAATGTTTGCAGAAGGTTTTTTATGTAAAAAATTTCAAGTAGAGATGGGTTTTATATCATGGCTAAATGAAGAAAGCTACTAACAGCATTTATATACACTGTGTTCCCTATGTTTAGTGAGTTTTGATTGGTTTGATACTTGCCGTACTCTAAGTGCCTTTAAAGGAAGTTCTGAAATGACACGCTCAGGAGACTTTCCTGAAATAAATTGCCTTACTGTATGTTTGTTATTATGGGAAGACTGGCAAATGAATTTCTGAAATTTTATTAGCATGTTAGGACAAAGTCTATGGGTGGTTAATTATTAATATAATTGATTGTGCTAGCCTTGGGTGTGGGTGTCAGAGTCAGATTTGTAGTGACATGAGTTGGATCGATCTATGTAGAATTATGGCTTCATTGGGAATGTCTCCATAGATATCATAATGTATTTACTTAAGGATTAGGTTTTTAAGGATGATTTTTTTTTCAGTGAAGATAATTGTCATGCAGTTACTGTATATTAGTGCTTATGAAGTTTTCTGTTGGTTTAGAACTGGTCATCATGCTGATATTTTTACTTAAAAAGTGTGGAGCCTCAACTATATCACATTTTGAAACGTCTCAGACATCAGAATTGAAGTGTTATTGTTTTAGCATAACATAAGCCTTAGGTTATTATGTTATTGTTGGTTAAACATGGATGACCTCTAGTATATATATATATATATATATATTTATACTGCTAGGGAGAAGGTACTTCACTTATAATTTTATCATAGTCATGTAGCAAGGCAAAAATTTCTAATATTGTTATTGTCATGGTGTTTGTTATAAATCAAGACTCAGGTAGTCGCAGAAAACTTGTGGGGGGGGGGGTGTTCGCTGGAAGGGGCTCCTTGGGGGTTCCCTTGGGGTGCATGGTTGATGATTTAACTTGCTTTTTTACATAAAGTTCGATTCATTTTATGAGTTCAAATAAACAATGTGATGTGCATGGGGACTTCAGAATTTAGGGTGCCTGGGTATTTGGCTGTCCCTGGGGGGTGGTTGACTCTAAATTCTTTTCACTTTGTGTTCTGTGTGAATTCCTCACAGGTTATGAGAGTTAAGAAGTTAAAACTTTGGTAATTTGTAGACTTCTTGTCAGGGATGTGCGTGAGTACTTTAGAATTTTAGGGTGCCTGGGGGTTTGGCTGTCCCAGGGGGATGGTTGATTCTAAATTCTATTCACACTGTAATTTCCACTGTGTCTTCTCAGACCATTAGACTTAGGAAGTTGACACTTTTGCCAATGGGTAGACCTGTCATCAGGGATGTGCTTGGGTGTTTCAGAATTTTAGTTCAAGAGGGGGTTGGGCTATCCCTGGGGGTGTGATTTTGCATTATTTTCACATTATAATATCTGCTATCTCCTCCTAGACCATTAAAGTTAGGAAGTTGAAACTTTGGCGATTGGTACCCAGCGGGCAAATCAACATTGAATCAATGTTGAATCAACGTTGATGGTCAACGTTGAAACTATGTTGATATGACGTTGACTATGAAAGTTGACTCAACGTTGAACCATCAAGGTTGAATCAACCTTGAGGTATCAAGGTTGAATCAACGTTGATAGTCAACGTTGAAACTATGTTGATATGACGTTGACTATGAAAGTTGACTCAACGTTGAACCATCAAGGTTGAATCAACCTTGACGTATNTGGGGGGTGGTTGACTCTAAATTCTCTTCACTTTGTGTTCTGTGTGAATTCCTCACAGGTTATGAGAGTTAAGAAGTTAAAACTTTGGTAATTTGTAGACTTCTTGTCAGGGATGTGCGTGAGTACTTTAGAATTTTAGGGTGCCTGGGGGTTTGGCTGTCCCAGGGGGATGGTTGATTCTAAATTCTATTCACACTGTAATTTCCACTGTTTCTTCTCAGACCATTAGACTTAGGAAGTTGACACTTTTGCCAATGGGTAGACCTGTCATCAGGGATGTGCTTGGGTGTTTCAGAATTTTAGTTCAAGAGGGGTTTGGGCTATCCCTGGGGGTGTGATTTTGCATTATTTTCACATTATAATATCTGCTATCTCCTCCTAGACCATTAAAGTTAGGAAGTTGAAACTTTGGCGATTGGTAGATGCAGGCATGGTAGACGTGTTGTCAGGGTTGGGCATGGGCATTTCACAATTTAGGGTTCAACATGGGGTTGGGCTGTCCCTGGGGGGAAGGTGATTGATTCCTCATTCTTGTCACATTGTAATTTCATTACAGTTAGGAAATTGAAACTTTAATGATTAGTGGACCTGTCCTAAGGGATGTGCATAGGCATTTCAGAATATTAGCATGCCCGGGGGGGTTGGCTGTCCCTGGGGGTGGTTGATTCTAAATTCTTTTGACTGTGTGCTTTCTGTGAATTCCTCCTAGACCTTTAAAGTTAGGAATTTGGTGATTGGTAGCCCTCCTGTGAGAGATCCCTTACGAAAATTTCCTATAGGATTTCCTATAGGATATCCTATAGGAAATCCTATAGGATCCTATAAGATTTCCTATAGGATTTCCTATAGGATCCTATAGGAATTCCTATAGGATCCTATAGGAAATTGTCCCTTTTTCCTATAGGATCCTATAGGA